TTGTTTGCCAAAGCAAGTTAATGTTCTGGTAGACACTTACTATTTCCATTTTCTCTCTGTTTTGTGATTATGAAAAAGAACGTGAGAAAAAAGTACAAACACAATTGAGTCATTAGTCAAGAAGTTCAAACCAAAGCCCGTCCTATAATTGTCAAGTATCTAATTAGAGAATAAGGTCAGTATCACTCTTTTCCGTCAAATGATTTAACCACGGAGACAACCTATCACTGTTTTGTAATACTGTGGCTTCAGATGGGAGGGGTAAAGGTACATCTGATGCATTATAATTAGAAAAATGGAGGTGTATTATGTCACCTTTAATAATACAGTGCAAGGCAAGTAAAACTGCAGGTGTGGTGTTATCTGCAACACAATCTATCAAAAGAACTTCTTTTCTATATATTTACAAAGGCTATCTCTCTCCAGATCTACAAGGTTAATCTTCAAGACAGCCACAATATTGCTCATTATGGTGGGTTCAATAGAAATGTTTATTCAGGTTGTAGATTCAGCTTCAGCTAGGCCCAAACTGACACAGTAGAGTCATGTCGAAGCATGTCCAGGTAAACAATCGTGTGGAAGAGGTGACCAGCATCCAGATACTATAAGTAGAAACAGCAACTATAAGGACTCTTCACTCTACCACGGCAGACATCTATTTCAGATTTGTCTTAACATTCTCAACAACACTCAATATCACTACACAGACCAGCAAGAAAAGCTATCCAAAAACTGTTTTTGAATAGGTCAACCAGCAAATTTCCATTGCTTGTACTGGTTCAGACCACGAGCCCAAAAGAGAATCTACCCATTCATAAAGCATGTGGCATTCAATAATATACCTAATGTTGGCATCAAGCAAATCCATTAAACGATAAACTAAAATTATCTTATCCAAGTTGGAGATATCAACTTAATAGTCCCATTACTTGACTGAATAATATAAAATAGAAAGTACAACCTATCTTCTCTTTTTCCTGGTTACAGAAACTGAAACTCACATCTCTACTTACCAATCAGAATACCAAAATTATACCCATTAAAGTCTGGGAACGAATTGCAAACATTGGGCAGAGAGATTCTCATATGAATCTTGCATTAATTTTAACCATCTCCCAGTCAGCTCCAACACTGTCACTAAAAGGAAACAAAATATAGAACAGAGAAACAGAGAGCAGCAAGCTAACCCCAAGATAATCTCAGCAACGTAAACCAACTGGAACCCAGATTTTAAGAGAGCAAAAGCTCGCAACTCTCCCACAATTTCTCAGCATCCAAACACGTACTTCACCGTTCACAGCGAAAAAGATAAACTCGTACCTTCTGCTTGGGGCAGCTTTGCCTCGGCGAGCCACACCAAACTGAAGCAGCTCAACCCCATGAAAATCAAGAAAACGAATAAGTTCTTGGCCATCACGAACAAGAATCTTGGTCTCCCGAGGAACTAATGGCAAAGACCTTCGAGCTTGGACCTATTCTGGGTACGAGGAAGAGATGTCTCGGAGCTTGAGCAAATGGCGAAAAACCAGCAAATGCTGTGCTCCGTACTTAACGTGGTAGTTGACAAAACAAGCTAAATCTCCAGTTGCCTGATGGGAAAAGAAAGAGATGGGTCGAATGCTGGCATGTGGAAATAGTTTGACAAGTTGGCCGCCAATGGGATTATCTTATTTGTGTTTTGGTTTATAAGGAAATGAATGTCTGGCTGCTCTCGGTCCCGTTCTGTTTGACAAGAATTGAATATTCCAAAGGGGGGGCAAGAACCGATGGACGATGGAGGAAAGGACGTGGACGTTTCTCTCCTGCTGTCATTCTCGTGGCGAAACTGGATTTCTTTGCCATTAGGCGAGGTCAAAGTGACCTAATCATAAGCTTAAAATCCTTGCTGTTAAAGAACTATTAAGATTCTGACCAAAAAAGAATTAAGAACTATTATGATCGAGGGTTAATACTATAAAAAATCCTAAATAGATACATGTATTATTTTTTTTTGGATAAAGATACATATATTATTAGTTTATCCCAAATTAATCTCAAAGTGGTACATTTGCGATAATTTTACCCTCCGTTAGTTTCCGTTAAATTTTACTGTCAAATTATCGAGTTATATAAAACGTGACAGTTAACGGGTGTACCGATTTGGAGTTTCACCCTCCATTTATTACAGGTATATTAATTTGTGATATTTTGTAGTATTAATCAAATTTAATGAAGACTAAAAGAGAGTAAATTTAATACAAATGTACCAGCGTGAGATTTTTAGTGGTCAAAAAATTAGTTTTGGGTATATTTATCACACGTGTATCAGTTTGAGAGTTTTTGTGGTCAAAAAATTAGTTTGGAGTATATTTGTCACATGTGTACCAGTTTGTGATTTTTCGAGGTTAAAAAATTAATTTAGGGTAAATTTGTCACATGTGTATCAGTTTAGGGTTTTTCATGATATTAACCTACAATCAATCTGAACTATCTATTTTTTTCACCTGTGGGTCGCGATGTTAAAATTAAGACAAGTATCTCTCTTGAAGAAGACAGCCATTTAGGATTAGGAATAGGCGTAATAGGACCCATGAGTCTGTCTTTTCTCTAGAAGATGAAACATCATAAAAGACCATCCATGTCATTGAAACATTCTCAGAGACCAATGATGTTGAGTCCGATGATCTAGATGAGTCCCATGAACAAAATAATGTTGTTTGTACTTCTTGGAAAAACATAATATCTCTAATGATATCTCCTCTCGTTAATGTGATATTCGTAAAAACTAATCTACCAAACCAAATAATGATTTAGTAACGCACCCAAAAAAAAGCCAATCACAAGATACATGAAATTAGAAGAGAAAATCTTATTTAAAAAGAAATCGCTGAAAAGATAATTTAAGATTTTAAAAATTTTTTTAAAAAAAGTGTCTCGGGGCAACCTAGTCACGGCCAACTCCGGCACCACGAGAAAGGGCGGAATGATCCTCTTTAGGCTCCAGCTACTAGCGACGGTTGCACGACCCTTGTCCGAGCCTAGGAAAGGTGTCGTGGCCCTTCTTAGACCCTCACCCGCCCCAGTTTACAAGAGTACCCATTGTGTCGACGGGGTGTTAGGAACCCCCCCCGGGGAGCCATTGATGGATGTGGGCAGTGGCTGTGCCGCTTCCTAGCCACCTCTCCCTCTCGCCACTCTTTTTAATGTCTACAAAAATAAATTGGTAAGCATAAAATCAATTATTTACTAAGGATTATTATGCAAGCGATATCTGTTGGAATGAAAATGTTCACGAAGAACAAATAAGCTTACCATGAACAAATTAGGTCCATTGCTGACGGTTTTCTATTACCGGAAATTCTTACCGAAAGCTATACGATTTACTGCGAATGAATAAAGTTTACTATTGAACAAATTATTTTTACTAACAAATAGATCCACTTTACTAACAAGGGAAGACCATGAAAAATCATAAACTGGTACACCAATGACAAATTTACCATAAATTAATTTTTTGATTATAAAAAATCCGAAACTAGTACACCTGTGATAAATTTACCCTCCGTTAGTTTCCGTTAAATTTGATTAATACCACGAAAAATTTTAAACTGGTACATCTATGACAAATGAAAGGTAAAACCTTAAATCGGTATACCAGTCAATTGCCACGTATCATCTAATTCAGCAAATTGATAGTAAAAGTTTAACAGAAACTAGCAGAGGGTAAATTCATCATTGGTGTATCGATTTGAGGTTTTTTGTGATCAAAAAATTAATTTTGGATAAATTTGTCACATACGTACTAATTTAGAGATTTTCATGGTATTAATTCTACTAATAAATCGATCATCTTGTGCTACAATCTGCATCCTTCTTTACTTAGCTCGGCAGATATGCCGCTCGCATCATTGACGCAGACGAGAACAAAGCCGGAAGTTTTCGGCAGGGGCTTCAGACGAGGCATGAGGCCGAATATTTCTATCTTACTGCTGACCAGTTGCAACGATGTCCTCCGGGGAGCATTGGTAGCAGAAAGGAGGATCTTCAACTCTAGCAGGGACAATGGGGAAATCAGGACGAAGAGGATGAAAATTGGTGGTTCGGGCAGAGCGAAGGATCACGCTGGTCCCCGAACAAATGCGCGGGGTATGGCAGATTTCACCCCGGACTGTGCAGATGGAACGGTGGTGTTTGCTTTAACTATGGTAGGTCGGGACATACTGCGAGATTTGGTGAGACCGCTGCTAACTATTCTAAAAACTTAAACTGTTTACGTGGTTTCATATTTAAATATTCTAACACATGTTGCTGGTTTTCGTCGGGAGGAGAAGGACGGTGCAGCAGCTCATGCATCCACTGATGACAAACCAAAACAAACGAAAGTGGACAGGGTGCATGCCATGAAACAACTTCAAGGTACGTGGTTTTCTACAAAACTTAAAGCAAAATACAAAAAAAGAATTAAAAATACGGTAATATAAAACTCAAAGTAAATAGTAAAAAATTCAAAACAAGCAACTTTGAAAAAAAAAATAAAGATTACGATTACAATTACGATTGCGTGTACTGCTGGTGTAAAGAACTTTTTCCATATTCACTGCCAGATGGGTGACATATGTACTTGAGATAGTTGTGTAATCGAGCTCATCCACATCATCACCCATCCAATGATGAATGTATAAATGGTTTTTCACGCTACCAGTATACCTAATAATAAATCCTCAAAGAAAATGAAAAATGAGATGTGGGAGAAGAAGGTGACGCGTAAATTGGGATAGAGGCGACGGATCGGCGTGGCAAGATTTGGCCTGGGATCGCGCAACCTCGGCGAGGCAGAAGTCCAAAAAAAACATGACTGATCTGATATTCATGATAGGGAGGGTGATCCTATAGAGAGCCAAATGGGAATGGGAAACAATCAGACCTAATGGTTTAAGCCACTGTGTGAGTGCATGCATGAGTAGTCTACAAGTGCTTCAAAACTTTCTTTTCTAGTCATTCCATCCAGGCGAACCAGATGATGAACCTGACAGAAAATCTCTTCATTTCTTCGCATCAAATCGAACAAACACGTAATTCAGTACACTGTACAATAATCTGGGCAAATCTGTATCAATGACTTCGATCGACTTATTGCTCGAAACGCCGAAGAGAAGTAACAAACTAAGAAATGACTCACCTATTCAAGCACCAATGCTTCCTTCCTAATTGCACAGCTTTTGCACATCCCAGCTTTCCTCGCCACAAGGCCTCGCCCTCGGCCGAGTTTTTCTGCTTCCACCGATCAAGGCTCTAGTAGTCGAGGACCGTTTATTCAGCAACGACAATGGGACTCCGATTCGCTAGTTCGAGACTAAGCCTAAGTTTGGTATGCCGCGGCAACTAAGGTTCGCGCATTTTATGAAAGGGATCTGGATTCTTGATTTTTTTTATACAGATCTTGACTGGAGGTGCTTGACGAAGACCGAAAAGTGTTGATGGACGTGGAATCCTCATTTTGGGTCTCGGTAAAACTCTGTTGTTGCCCTTGCTTGCGGAGGTCTCTCATGGCTTTGAACCTCAGATCTTCACGGTAGGTGCTCGGCTCCGGGATCATGTCCGGTACAGTCATTTTTCCCTCGAGCATGTTCACCACCTCGGACATCGTGGGCCTCAGAGATGGAGATGCATTTGTGCACAGAAGAGCTACTTTTACCGCGATTTCCGTTTCTTCTTTGTTGACTTTGGTCTGTAACTTCTCGTCGACAAGTCGCATCAAGTTCCCAGTTTGTTGCAAGTGACATGCCTGCAGCATGATTACCATAAACCAGTACTTTGTCATGGAGCTATTGAAAAATTCTTATACCATGAGAATGGAGAACCCAGCCCAACTGTTAACAAGTACGTTCTTGCTGTCTAGTTAAGTAGAATCAGAGACGAGGAAAAATACCCAATCCAATAGACAAAAATAGTCGTCACTCGGCAGGCTACTGTTATTGCTTTTCCCGCTAACTATCTCCAAGGCCACGACTCCGAAGCTGTACACATCGGCTTTGTATGTGAGGTAACCCCACAATGCGTATTCTGGAGCCATGTATCCTCTGCAAACAAGATCGCAATCTGTTAAATCGATAACCTTAAGAAATTATAGCATCATCAGAGCATAAGCTGAATTCAAGGTGTGGTTAAGAAATTTCGGACATGGAATTTGTTAGGGAGAAGATAGCCTACATGGTTCCAGCAACTTTGGTGCTAATGTGAGTGTTCTCTTCTTCATGAAGCCTGGCCAGTCCAAAGTCTGATATTTTCGGGGTTAAATCTCGATCGAGCAGCACATTAGTAGCTTTAATATCTCTGTGGACAATCTTGATTCTAGACTCTTCGTGTAGAAAGGCGAGACCCTTAGCGATCCCGGTGCAGATCTTAAGTCTCGTGGGCCAGTCTAGTTGAAGTTGATGATTTTCTGGACCTGCTTGACCCAAGAAGGCGGAGTTGCTTGTTATTTCAACATCTATCTAGGTACCATTTTGTATGGTAATTGAAACATATATTGTAGAAGTAGAACTGACCAAACAAGGCTCGAGCAAGACTATTGTTCTCCATATACTCGTAAACCACCGATAGTTGATCTCCTTCAATACAGCACCCGTGGAGCTTCACAAGATTTGGATGTTGTAAGCATGATATCATTCCTATCTCATTCAGGAATTCTCGATTTCCTTGTCGCGATTTTGACGAGAGCTGCTTAACTGCTATTACAGTGCCATCATTTAATTGACCCTGCATGCCAACCCAATTATTAGAATTAATTTATAAGTACATTGCATGACGATTTATGGAACAGGACAACACACATAACAGCACGCACCTTGTAGACAGCGCCAAAACCGCCTTCCCCAATCTTGTTTGCAGAATCGAAGTCATTTGTCGCAGCTTTAATTTGTTTTATGGAAAATGTCCCCATCTGCAGATCTAGTCCTTCCATGCCTATATAAGCAGAGAAAAGACAGAACTTGAAACCAGAAAACTCAAGAAAGTAAGCCCAAATGAGAGAATTAGATCACTGACAAAATAGAGACCAATATACTCTGTAGTTGGGTACAAGTTTTTTCAGTAGTGATAGCTATTCCGATAACAATGCTGTTGAGTAACAAATCGGACGTCTAATTTTATGCAAGCCCAAGTAAGCTATTGGCGACTTGCACAGTAGACTAGAGTAAGCACCAGATTGTGGTCTTCTCAAGTAAGTCAGTTTGATGACAGAGAACATTCAGTCATATTTAACAAAATTCATAGAAACTGCACCTTGTCTTCTCTTGGTTCTTCCTCGGAAATAGCCTTTCCACTTAAGTATACAGAGTGATAAGAGAACAATGCAAAATGCTCCACCTCCAACTCCAACTACGATATAAGCAGTTTTTTGTTTTCCACCTCTTGAACACTCTTTGACATCTGCCCAACAGAAACAAGACAAGAAATGAAGAAGGATTTACTAATGGTGAAAATGATCAGTCAAACAGTTGGATAATGCTGAGAATCGTAAATATCATATCAAAGGCTGAAGAACCAATGTATTATGCCTATTAATGGCCTCACACTTTATGCAGCTCAGCATCAGACTATGGAAACCATCCGGCCATATGATATAGGGAAAATTTTCAGCCTCACCTGAAACTACAGAAATGGAAGAAATAAGCGGACCATAAACTCCTCTTTCAGGAATCCTCGTTGTCCCTTTTCCAGCAAAAACTAGACGAATTTCTAGAATATTATTTGTCACGCTGACATTATAGGCTTCTTCTCTTGGCTTCTGAGCAGCACCTGCTGCAATTTCAATATCATAGTCCTTCTGCATTGATTTCCCCTGTGCCATACATATTCAACTAAGATTTAATGCGCCGGAGAATTGAAACAAATACGCAATGTGAATATCCAGGTTTGTTCCAGTGAGAACTTAATTACCTGAACATAAATATCGAATACCCGCCTCCCGAGGCTGTTATATGTTTTGTTGTTAGTGAACTGTATTTCTGAAAATCTGAGTTTCACTGTGTACATCCCGTTCTCCAAGCAATAATGAAAATAAGTCAGTGAAATTGGGGAGGTTCGTGCTGTTGCATCCAAGACAGAGAGGTTTGACGAAGGCAGAGACACAGTATAGCGCAGATTTTGTTTATCATTATCATCCATGAAGTCCCCTGTGCTACTGAATCCCCAGAACTCATCACGATTTAAATAGTATTTTGCAGCACCACCTTCTATATATTCATCTCCTTGATAGATGATCATCTGCCTAGATTCCTTGATGGTTGCATCTTTTCCACCACAATTAACATGTAAACAACTCGAGTCTGAAGAGAGAAAAATTTCATATGATTTAGAAAACTTCTGACCTCGACAGAGAGAGAAAATAATGAAAAACCGTAACTACAGCACCATGTTGTGGATAAGACCAAACAGTTGATCTCAAAATGGACAAGCATATAATAAGATGCAAAAGTTTAACCAAGCTTTGAAAATTCCAGAGCTTTTGAAGGACACAGAGCAATAATTCAGCAAGCATATACTTACAATGTGGACATTGGAAGTTCTCCAAGCAAGGATCACCTCTGCCTCTGCAACAGAAGTATAAATGAATTAGCCTTGACCAGCGACCATACCCAGACCTTTCATTTCACAAGAAAACTCAGTGCAAACCAAACAAATGGGCATGCAGTCATATGGCCATTTGGCAATCAATATATTTGAAGCCTTCGAATAATTACAGACCTGACACTTCTATAAGAAAATGTTCATGAATAGAGCCATCATATCACAGACGATCACTTTGGCAAAAAACTGTGCTTTCAACTGAAAGATTCAATCTTTTTAGCAGAATCCAAAAGAAAAAATTGAGGAATGAAGACTCATATTGGGCATGATAAAAGGAATCTTACGAGTTATTTTCTGCTGAGGAGCCTCTAAACAAATTCAAGTTCAGATTCCTGAAGAAAATGGGAGAGTAACAAAATCAGATTTTCCACGAAAATCATACAAAAGATATCTCAAAAGAAATATGGCACGGGTACTGGTGGCTCACATGTTTCCTCGACAAGCAGGTTGCTGAGGACCTTGCCATGTGAAGTCATTGTATGAAAGATCACTGCACACAGCATGGGGAAAAACTAACTTCAAGATGGTGAGAATCAAGAGGATGGTGAGGGCAATCAACTCGATAAGAACAAGAAACATACACACTGGTTCCTTCCTTCAAGATTGAATCCGGAACATTTCCCGTTAATAAATTGCTGGTCAGAAATCTGAGCAAAAATCGCGTGATATAATTAATACAATAGGCAAAGAAAGAAACCATTAAAACGACATTCAATTAACAAAGGCATTAATTCATCTGGCTGCATTATGTCCCATGGTTCAGGCCACAAGTTGCTTTGCACTGACATAAGTAAGAGACGGCAATCCAATAAGACGTGCATGCACACATGCATTCACGAGCATGTGAATGATGAACTTACATGAACCTTATGTGCTTTAAATTGATTGTAGCCGGAATTTGCCCAGTCAGTTTGTTGAAACTGAGATCCCTAGGACCAGGAAGACATAAGGTAAGCAAGCTTACCTTACTTTCGGCTGTAAGAAGACTATTAAAACTTCTCCAGTCAAAACTTAACAAGATGTACTTACAATAATTCTAGATCCTGCAAGTTCCACATGTAGGGGGGAATCTGCCCAGATATGTTGCAGCTTCTCAGTACCCTATAACAATATGCTGCCAGGTTTAATAACTCAAACATCAAGCACAGCACATCCTAGGAGAATCCAAACTCTGTATAAAGGAACTAAGACTAACAATTTCACTAAGCCTGTCATGTTTTCCAGTGCAGGAAATAGCTGGAGAGGACCATCAATGTCACTAATCCTCCTGTCAATGTATTTAATCATTAGCAAACAACTGCGATTTACAAAAATATATGACTTGCATCCTAACGTACAAATGATATAGAATTAATTGTAAGAAAGCTAATTACTCACAGCTCCTCTACTTTATTCAAAGCAGAAACCTGGGAAGGAATGGGTCCTTCAAGTCCACTCGCATGCATTTCTCTTCAAGAGTTGAAATGTATATGGCAATACTCAGTATGTAGATTATAAGAAAAATCATGTTGATCATCAAACTTAACCCACGCAAAATGTATTAAAACCGTGATCTTACAGTCTGTTCAGCTGCTTCCAGTTTTGGATAAAAGTGGGTATTGTGCCGTTGAAGTTGTTGTCATTTATTCGACTGCATTATGAAATATAGAGTGTTATTAGGCATTCAAATCATAGTAGTTATATAGGAAACAAGCACATCATTGTCTTACAAATCTGTCAGATTTCCTAACGCAGCAAATGTAGGTGGCACGTTTCCTGTTAGCTGATTGGAGGACAAAATCCTACAACCATATTACGGCACCACGATAAGTAAATAAAAGTATAAAGATGGAAGACAATTAGTCCCAAGCTTAGGAGTATTAGGGTTTCTTACAAATGCTGTAAGTTGATTAAACTCCCAAGCTCAGGAGGAACAGGACCAGAGAACTGATTGGCTTCAAGATTCCTGGTTAAGAAACTCTAAAATTGTTATTGAATTATAACCAAATATAATCTTCTGTAATGGACTCCAACTAAATCATCTGAAACCAAAGGCATTTTAGCCATTCTTCCCAAGAGCTATGAGAAAGAAATTTTATATAAATGTTCTAGATATACTTCTACAAAAAAGAAAGTGGCAATATATTGATGGAGAAAGGAAAAAACAAACTGCAAAATATAGCTGCCAAGAAACGTGCATCTCAGATGACTTCAAAATGCAGCAATTGCTCAGGAAAGAAATGCATTAGAGAAATAATGAGATTTAGCATGAAACTTACAGATGTGTCAGTGAGATAATGTTTGCCAATGATTTTGGTATTGCTCCTGATAAGCGATTCACAAGAAGAGTGCTGCACGACCATTTTTCCGTTCATAATCAATCAGAAAAAAACATATGATGTGAAGAAATCAAGGAGTATTGGTTACATTGATGTCAACTGCATGGAACCCAACTTGTCAGGAATTTCACCACTGAGGTAGTTGTAAGCAAAATCACTGCAATGTAAGAGTTCATCAGCATATTATTCACAAAAAATTGCTTTTGACCCCAAATTATGTTTGGACACGAAGTAGTAAAATAGCACAACGGAAAATGAAGGAAGTGGAAACTAGTCCTTACATCTCTCTGAGGTAAGGTAGCTTGGTAAGCTCAGGGGGGAGGATTCCGGGTAGACTGTAAAACTTCAGCACTCTGTGATGCACGATAAGCAGATCAATGTTAAGTGCAAGAGATGGCTTCATCGCATATCTGGAAAACTATAGCGTAACACCGTGAATCAGCAGTGAAAATTGTGCATAAGATTGCTGAAGTCATGGATATATTGAAGAGACCAATTTACATCTTCGGGAAACAGCCTAAATAAGCACAAAGATAAATGTTGATATATCCCTCTTCTTCACTGATGCCACCATATTTTGCTCTTTAACAACCCTGTTTCTTTTCGAAATACATATTGGAAGACATTGGGTTTTGTGGTTCGTTAAAGCAAATGTCTGGGGGAAATGGTGAAAGATATCAAGTTCTGAATGGCAGTAATATCTTCTATTAATTGGACTTGCAAGGTGATTTCACACTTATGAGAACAACTATGTCAAGACACTAAAAAACTTTAAGTTGGTGAATTCAGAAAAAACTCAATAACCAAGTACAGTATCTAAAAGTTGCAAGAGACTTTTGATGAGAAAAAAAACTAAAATGTGTTTCTCTAAAAGTTGCAATATCAGTGATTGGATGAGGGACTTATACATCGTTACGACGTGACAGAACGTATCATTCCCAATGTTGCAGTCACATCCAATGCTACCATTGGCTTTTGCTGGCGGCTGCAGTGTTAACCCAACTCTTCGTATTTGACAGTTGCCGCCATTAAAATCCCAGAATGTCGACCCCATTGCGGTCGTGATTTCACGGAGAGCATCAACTAAATTACATGTATAGACAAAAAAGCACCATTAGAGAAAGCGAAAGGTACAAGTTATGATTGGCAATGAGAGGAAAATGACTACTAATGAAGGATGTACTTGTTTGCCAAAGAAAGTTAATGTTCTGGTAGACACTTACTGTTTCTATTTTCTCTCTGTTTTGTGATTATGAAAAAGAACATGAGAAAAAAGTACAAACACAAAATGAGTCATTAGTCAAGAAGTTCAAACCAAAGCCCGTCCTATAATTGTGAAGAATCTAATTAGAGAATAAGGTCAGTATCACTCTTTCTGTCAAATGATTTAACCACGGAGACAACCTATCACTCTTCTGTAATACTGTGGCTTCAGATGGGAGGGGTAAAGGTACATCTGATGCATTATAATTAGAAAAATGGAGGTGTATTATGTCACCTATAATAATACAGTGCTTGCAAGGCGAGTAAAACTGCAGGTGTGGTGTTTTCTGCAACACAATCTATCAAAAGAATTTCTTTCTATATATTTACAAAGGCCATCTCTCTCCAGATCTACAAGGTCAATCTTCAAGACAGCCACAATATTGCTCATTATGGTGGGTTCAACAGAAAAGTTTATTCAGGCTGTAGATTCAGCTTCAGCTAGGCCCAAACTGACACAGGATAGTCATGTTGAAGCATGTCCAGGTAAACAATCGTGTAGAAGAGGTGACCAGCATCCAGATACTATAAGTAGAAACAGCAACAATAAGGACTCTTCACTCAAACACGGCGGACATCTATTTTAGAGTTGTCATAACATTCTCAAGGACACTCAAGATCACTACACAGACCAGCAAGAAAAGCTATCCAAAAACTGTTTTTGAATAGGTCAACCAACAAATTTCCATTGCTTGCACTGGTTCAGGCCACGAGCCCAAAAGAGAATCTACCCATCCATAAAGCATGTGGCATTCAATAATATACCTAATATTGGCATCAAGCAAATCCATTAAACGATAAACTAAGATTATATTACCGAAGTTGGAGATATTAACTTAAGAGTCCCATTATTTGACTGAATAGTATAAAATAGAAAGTACCTCCTATCTTCTCTTTTGCCTGGTTACAGAAACTGAAACTCCCATCTCCACTTACCAATCAGAATACCAAAATGATACCCATTAAAGTCTAGAAAGGAATTGCAAACATTGGGCAGAGAGATTCTCATATGAATCTTGCACTAATTTTCCCCAACTCCCAGTCAGCTCCAACACTGTCACTAAAAGGAAATAAAATACAGAACAGAGAAACAGAGAGCAGCAAGCTAACCCAAGCTACTCTCAGCAACGTGAACCAACAGGAACCCAGATTTTAAGAGAGCAAGAGCTTGTGACTTTCCCACAATTTCTCAGCATCCAAACACGTACTTCACCGTTCACAGCGAAAAAGATAAACTCGTACCTTCTGCTTGGGGCAGCTTTGACTCGGCGAGCCACACCAAACTGAAGCAGCTCAACCCCATGAAAATCAAGAAAACGAACAAGTTCTTGGCCATCACGAACAAGAATCTTGGTCTCCCGAGGAACTAATGGCAAAGACCTTCGAGCTTGGACCTATTTTGGGCACGAGGGAGAGAGGTCTGGGAGCTTGAGCAAATGGCAAAAAAACCAGCAAATGCTGTGCTCCGTACTTAACGTGGTAGTTGATAAAACAAGCTAAATCTCCAGTTCCCAGATGGGAAAAGAAAGAGAGGGGTCGAATGCTGGCATGTGGAAATAGTTTGACAAGTTGGCGCCCAATGGGATTTAATATTCCAAGGGGGCAAGAATTGAATATTCCAAGGGGGCAAGAACCGATGGACGATGGAGGAAAGGACGTGGACGTTTCTCTCCTGCTGTCATTCTCGTGGCGCAACTGGATTTTTTTGCCTGGCGGCGAGGTCAAAGTGACCTAATCATAAGCTTAAATTCCTCGCTGTTAAAGAACTATTAAGATTCTGACCAAACAAGAATTAAGAACTATTACGATCAAGAGTTAATACTATTAAAAATCCTAAATTGATACATATTGTAATAAATTTACCCTAAACTGGTACATCTGCAATAATTTTACCCTCCACTAGTTTTCATTAAATTTTACTGTCAAATTGCCGAGTTATATAAAACGTGACAGTTGATAAGGGTACCGATTTGGAGTTTCACCCTCTATTTATTACAGGTGTACTAATTTGTGATTTTTCGTGATATTAATCAAATTTAACGTAAACTAAAAGAGGGAAAATTTGACACAAATGTATCAATTTGGGGTTTTTAGTGGTCAAAAAATTAGTTTGGGATATATTTGTCACATGTGTACCAGTTTGGGATTTTTTATGGTCAAAAAATTAGTTTTTGGTATATTTGTCACACGTGTACTAATTTGTGATTTTTCGCGGTATTAACCAAATTTAACGGAAACTAAAATATTGTAAATTTGACACAAATGTACCAATTTGGGGTTTTTTGTAGTCAAAAAATTAGTTTGGGATATATTTGTTACATTTGTACCAGTTTAGAATTTTTCGTGATAAAAAAATTAGCTTGGGGTATATTTTTTACATGTTTACCAGTTTGGAGTTTTTCGTGATCAAAAAATAAATTTAGGGTAAATTTATCATGTGTGTTCCAGTTTAGAGTTTTTCATGGTGTTAAACCTACGGTCAATCTGAACTATCTTTTTTTTCACCTTTGGGTCGCGATATTAAAATTATGACAGGTATCTCTCTTGAAGAAGACAGGCATTTAGGATTAGGAATAGGCGTAATCAAACCCTTGAGTCCGTCTTTTCTCTAGAAGATGAAACATCATAAAAGACCATCCGTGTCATTGAAACATTCTCCAAGACCAATGATGTTGAATCCGATGATCTAGGTGACTCCGATGAACAAAATAATGTGGTTTGTGCTTCTTGGTAAAACTTAATATTTCTAATGATATCTCCTCTCGTTAATGTGATATTCATAAAAACTAATAAACCAAACCAAATAATGATTTAATAACGCACCAAAAAAAAAGCCAAAAACAAGATACATGAAATTAGAAGAAAAAATCTGACTTCAAAAGAAATTACTAAAAAGATTGTTTAAGATTTTAAATTTTTTTAAAAAAAGAGTCTTAGTGCAACCTAGTCACGGCCAACTCTGGCACCACAAGAAAGGGCAGAATGATCCTCTCTAGGCTCTAGCAACTAGCAAGGGTTGCACGACCCTTGTCCCGACCTAGGAAAGGTGTTGTGGCCGTTCTTAGACCCTCACCCGCCCCAGTCTACAAGAGTACCCATTGTGTCGACAGGGTGTTAGGAACCCTCCCGCCCCCCGGGAGCCATTGATGGATGTGGGTAGTGGTTGTGCCGCTTCCTAGCCACCTCTCCCCCTCGCCACTTTCTTTTTAATGTCTACAAAAATAAATTGTTAAGCATAAAATCAATTACTTACTAAGGATTATTATGCAAGCGCGATATCTATTGGACTGAAAATGTTCACGAAGAACAAATAAGTTTACCATGAACAAATTAGGTCCATTGCTGAAGTTTTTCTATTACCGGAAATTCTTACCGAAAATTATACGATTTACTGCGAATGAATAAAGTTTACTATTGAAGAAATAATTTTTACTGACAAATAGATCCACTTTACTAACAAGGGTTAAGACTATGAAAAATCCTAAACTGGTACACCAGTGACAAATTTATCCCAAACTAATTTTTTAACCATCAAAAACTCTAAACTGATACACCTATGATAAATTTACCATAAACTAATTTTTTGACTATCAAAAACCTCAAACTGGTATGCCTGTGACAAATTTACCTTCCGTTAGTTTCCGATAAATTGGATTAATACCATGAAAAATTTCAAACATATATATATGTGATAAATGAAAGGTAAAACCCCAAATCGGTATACCTGTCAATTGCCACGTGTCATCTAACTCAGCAAATTGATAGTAAAATTTAACGAAAACTAGCAGAGAGTAAATTTGTCATAAGTGTATCAGTTCGGGATTTTTTGTGGTCAAAAAATTAGCTTTGAGTAAATTTATCGTAAGCGTATTAGTTTGAAGTTTTTCGTAATATTAACTCTACTAATAAATATATACCGACGACAACTCCACTTTACTACACGAGAATTTTCATTTTCTTTTAAAAAATATAGATAAATGTCAACTTTGTTTCTGACGTATACGGTGTCCTAAGTCGTACAAGCTACCTCGCATTAATGACTTCAACTTCTGGTGAGGTCAAAACTGACCATTAAAGTCTCATGGATAAACATATGGGAATAGTACGGACGTGCATATATATATATATATATATATATATAATTTGAAGGTTTTGACGGATAAAACCTTCAAATTTTCTTTTATTTTTCCTGAGATATTCACTAAAGTCGGTGACTAATTGTCATTGAAATAAAGAATATGCGAAACTGCGTGGATACACCGGGAGACACAACATGGAGCCACAATTGATCCTACATGTGGATTTTCGATATGTACAACCAAAGTACATCCAGCCAGACATACTCGTACCGCGTGTAGATACCTCAGACACCGGGATTAATAGGGTAAGCAAGCAAGTCTCATACTAACTCTCACCCACCATGAAATACGGAATCCCAATTCAGTCATAAACTTATTATATGAAATGTTAATTCGATCATAAATTTTTCAATTTTACTGATGTAATCCTGAACCGGCCAATTGCGACCGAAAGTAACTGACACGGCGATCCACGTAGGACAATTTTTCGAGTAAAGTTGCCTGCCTCAGCATGCTACACAAGACGACCGATGAAGACTGGACGCCACGTCAGCAACTTCCTACAGCGATTGGTCATGTGAGATTTTGTGGGGCCACTGCCAACTGTTCTAAAAGTTTAAGCTGTTAGATGAAAGCGTGATTTAATAATTAATTACTCTAACACTCCCCATCATGCTTAATTTGGTTTTTTTACCTAGCACTAAGCGTGGACATATTTAATTGGGGAAGCAATTGGAGTCTAAAAAGATTTGAACTCAGGACCTCTAGCTATGATATTATGTGAGATTTTATGGAACCACTGTCAACTGTTCTAAAAGCCTAAGCTGCTAGATGAAAGCGTGGTTTAATATTTAATTACTCTAATAGGTCGGGAGAGCCATACTGGAAACTTCATGCAGAGATTGAGGACTGCATTAATAATATTAAAAAATTTAGGACTGAATTATTGTATGACTTAGGGCTAATTGGGTAAATATTCCAACTGCGGTGTGCACAGCTTGGGTCAACCCTTGCATGGCATGAGCGAGGAATAATGAGTACGTATGTATATGCGCACAGATCTACGCATGACAATCATCCAGAGTCCCTAGGAAAGGGCCAAAAGTCAAATTTGCATTACTATAAGATGTACAAAGTCGCCATCCAGGACGAACCAAATTCTATTTTAATTAGGTCATGCGATAGGATAGGGTTAGGTACGAACAAATGAAGACGAATGTAGATGTAGGCCATCCAATTTAGTTTGCTCCTCCGCATCAAAGATGCCCCAAGGGAGTGGCACATAAGTTCTTCTATATAGTGCTTGACATAAACCTCCGATCGAATAAGCTCGGATATAAAGCTAGATTTGCGATCCAAGGCATGATAATTTTATAGAACTTAGATAGTTAACGTAATGAAAAAATAAAGGAGTGTTCGCTTGATCAGAGAAAGAGAGAGAGGGAGCATAGTGGTGCAACCAATGCGAATTCGAGAGTACTTGTTCACGTTCCCTTCTTGCCCTCGTCACGTCAGTTCGAGGTCTAATCTGTCACCGAATCACACATCTTTACTAGAAAAAAACTTGCTCCATCACCATACGTGATGACCCGAATTGTTTCACAAGTCAAGTCTTGAAAAAATATAATATACCTAAAGTGATAGCCATTTTGAGTGGATCGTTATTTATGAATAACATTCTAAGCCTTTCGTATCCCAACGTGGGACTTTGGACATTAAAACCTCAACCAAAAGGAATTGCAATATCGAGACGTGTGTGTTGAAGTATCATCTCACATTGCTAGATAATGATTTCTAAATACTCCTTATATTCATGTGATCTCCCTCCATCAATCAGCTTAAGCTTTTGCTATTAGAGCCATTGCTACCCTTTTGAGAGCGGCATTGAAATATCGCTGGATAATGGGTTCTGAATGATCCAAGCCTCTTTATATTTATGTAGTTTTTCTTCACCTATTAATTTAAATTTTTGAATTGAACTTTTGAACATGGTGTGGACACGATTCGGTCAGTCGGCAACACGAACAAGAAGAGCCACCGGCACAACCCTGTTCTTAAGTCAAAGTCTTTAACAGCTGATCCTAATAATTAAGTCGGGATTATGACACTCTACTGTCTTCGAGACAGTTCCTTTATCATGAATTTTCTTCCCCCCTGCAAGTGGACAGTTTCCCCACGTTCTTGCTTTAAGACTTGTCAAAGCCAAGGACATTTCGAGCTTGGCGTTTCGTGGCCTGGCCCAGTCCCGTTCATATTGCAAGCATTTCGAAGCATAATATCAACGCGTTCGATGACGAGCGCGAAGTTCTGTTTGTCGTTTTCCTTTTCTCGTTTTGTTGTGCGCACCGAGGTACGTTTTCTTGCACCATACTGAGTTCACCTTTTTCTGATCCTAATGAAAGGCGAGCCACCCGCGTCGGGATCGAGAGATATTTAG